TGTAATGTAGATTGTAGTGGTGTTAATGAGAAAAGAGTCTCATCTAGGATTTTGATTAGACTATTCGCATTAATTGGCTAAATATAAATTAATGTCGTTTAGGCGGCTCCTACCTACGAGCTACATCACTAGTTATTAGGATTAGGACAGGATTTAATACATTCAGGAGTGTATTTTGGTACACTACCTCTCATTATTACTTAATGTACGATGATCTACTTCCGTTCTTAATTAATTTTAATTAATCTTTTAAATAGGTAATCCTTTCTATTATCATGACTCATGGCCTCTTTTTTGCACACTCACGCAAACGACCTCGTTAACTAGATACGCACACAAATGTTTCCAAAAGAGGTTACGTTTACTTCCATCATTCTTATTTGCATTAATTTGTATTGCAAATTAAACATTACTTAGAAAGTAACTTAAAAGACAAGCAATGTTTAAAAAATTTCTAAACGTATTAAGATTATAACAAGTGGTAAAATTATTTGAAGTGGGTTGAAAAAGTAGGTATCTAAGGTTTTTCACATCTTACAAGACAAACTTTACATAGAAAAATTATATAAGTAGGTACTTAAGTATATATAGAATTATGACTCATGGGCATCGATCACTAATAATTAGTTAATTAGTGATCGATGTTCATAGAAATGTTAATTATCTTATCACTATAATTAAGTAGGTAGGTACTACTATTAGATATTCGTTATTTTCGTGGAATAAATAATTAACTTATGCTTAAGTAAAAAAAAATTGTTATGTAATAGGTTACTAACGACAAATCGCAATGTTTTGTTATAACACTTTTTCTAGGAACTAGGAAGGGATATGCCCAAGGATATACCATTAATATTACGGGATCCATTTTACGTAATACATATAGCGAAATAGTAATTTAACGATCGTGGGTCATAGTGTCAACCATAGATAACATATAGTGCATTGGGGTGATGTTCGATTAACGAATTGCGCCATGTTTCAGAAATCTGACGTACCTATATGGATGTCGAGAAAATAAAGTTTTTGCCAGACTCTTTTAACTAGTCGAAAATCTTTCCGGTATTGCCCCAACGCACCTCACTCTTTATAATAGGTGTCAACCGTAGGTTTCGACCCCAGAAATCTAAATAATAAGGCCTTATTATTTAAATTTCTGTTGTTTCGACGCACCTTCATAGTGTATCGGACTCGAATCTCTAGGATGGTAAACATATATAATACATTAAGGTATTTATTATACATTATTACACAAGGCAAAAAGCAATGAATGATTCCAACTAAATTCCATGAGATGCGCAGCGTTAGTATACCTATATGCCACCGCAAAAGTGTTACGTGGATAGATATCATATTTATTTAATTTACAAATACAATGCGCACACAACACACACATGTTTACATTCTCTGATTTGCATATCAATAACAAGTGATCATAACATCCAATCAACACAATGAGAAAATAAGCAAAATAAATTATAAAGCTATAATAAGCCCCACTCGCTCAAACTTAGGTACATACAGTCCACCTGATGGTAGATGTATGATGTCACCCATAGACATCTACATATATCCTCGAATAAGAATCAAAATGCGTTGTCACACCAGAGGTCTACGATGAAATGCCTGATTTCCAGTAAAAAGGGTCTCCGGTTCTCCGCACTGACCATACGAAACCCATCAGCATTGAAATGCTAGGTAGCATTGCAATGCTGATGGGTTTCGTATTCACGCTGCCATTTTTTTATAGGATAAGGGTGACAAACGAGCACAAAGTCCACCGGATGGTAAGTGGATGCTGTGGCCCATAGAAATCTACATTTAACCTCGATTAAGAATCAAAATACAGATGCTTTGTCACCCCTGATGACTAAGATGGAATGCCTCGATTCCAGTAAAATGGGTCTCTGGTTCAGACTAACGAAACACAGCAGCAACAAACTGCTATTTTACGCTGGTATTCTGTGAGAGCGTGGTCCTTCCCCGGTCGTGCCGACCTATTCGAGCTAAAACCATAATATAGCTGCAGCATGGTACCGATAAAAATCGAAAGTGGCCGTCGTATTCGAAGAAAACCACACTTCTCTAGAACTCTATGGGAAGTGTGAATTTATAATTTTACATCCTTTTGGAATGACGTTCAAAGTAATAAAATAATATATTCAAATCACACACGTGTATTTTATATATAGATGGGAAATTAATTTCGTATATGCGGTGACTACGCAGAAACAGGGAATAAATAGTACTGCGTACTAGAATTAACTCGTGAGCACGTTATAAACATGTAAACAATAATATTTTGCACTCCTCTTTGTCAAAGAGTCTTCACATTCGCTTTAGTTTATTTAAAAAATGAATCAAATTATTGCGGGCACCTCGTAAACGTTTCCTGGAATCCTACTTTCCACTAATGTCTAAGAATAGTTTTCTAGTCTACACGTGTACAATTGCGCGTTTTGCTTCTACGAATATGTATTTCTTTTCGATTCGTATGATAACCAGTCGCTTATTTTTTTTAAGTCATAGGTACTTAAATGTTCTGTAAAAATCGCCGTATAATAGCGGCGTTACAGATATAACTCACTAACACATATTATCATCCCGTGGATGTCGTAAGAGGTGATGAAAGGCAAATTAATAAAATACTGCGGTTAGCCTACCTAGCAGATATGTTGTCAAATATGCTCTAATGATCATTTTTACGTGGTAGAGCCACGCTGCAGCTATATTATAGTTGTAGCATGAATGGGTCGGCTCGACCGGGGCAGGACCACGCTCTCACTGCTGCTGCTGTGTTTCGTATGGTGAGTGTAGAGAACCGCAGACCCTTTTTACTGGAATCGAGGCATTCCATCTTAGTTCTCAGGGGTGACAACGCATTTGCATTTTGATTCTTAAAGTAAAAAGTAAAGTTACAGCCTATATACGTCCCACTGCTGGGCACAGGCCTCCCCTCATTTCTGAGAGCGTTTTAGGGCAAGGAAGTGTCCGCCGCGCTGCACCAATGCGTGTTGGCGAACTTCACATGTCTTCAAATATATTTTTTTATTATTTCTCAGACATGCAGGTTTCCTCACGATGTTTTCCTTCACCGCCAAACACCTGGTAAATCAGAACTTAAAATTGCAATTAACAATTTCATCGGTGCCGGCGGGGATCGAACCCGGTTTGCTAGATTGTATTGATATTTACAGCGAGCGCTAATCATCTGAGCTACCAAGGCTCATTTTGATTCTTAATTGAGGATAAATGTGGATGTCTATGGGCCACAGCATCCACTTACCATCAGGTGGACTGTGTGTTCGTTTATCACCCAATGCTATAAAGAAAAACCTATATAATTTGGCCATAACCGCAGTCATCTTTGAACTAATTACGAAGTCATAACAATAAACATAATTAATTTATCGTTTTAAATGTACCAGTGATAGCCTCAAAAGACGGACTATCGCTGTTTTGTTATCAAAAGATTAATAATGCGTGTCGGTTGGCTGAGTAATGGGTAAATGAATAGTGATAAAATGTTAAAGATGAAAGTAGACAACAAAGGAATCGTTTGAGTGTCATCGCCATGTTTTAGTCTCAGAACAAAGAAATAAAGATGGCGCGCTGGGAGCAAAAACCGTGCTCAACTCAAGGTGTAAGAACACGCACGCACGTACCTACATATTATATGCATCTAAAATCACTTGTTAGCACCATAACTTACAACACTCTTTTAGGCTCATATGTAGCGTCCAGTAGGCAACTTTTACTGGCTGAGAAGAAAAGAAATATGAAGGAGTGCATGTCAAGAAGTTAAGAAAAGTTGGTACGCTACGTCTAACTTCCTTTTTTGGTCTCCGGCTTTAGTAAACTGACTTTTCTATCCCAAAATGTTCTTAGTAATCAGGAAATGTTTGATTATGTATGAAACATAAATGAAACAAAAAGGTTGCTAATTCCAAAAATGTAAAATTAGTAAAAATTCAGGAATGGGTCGGCTCGACCGGGGTAGGACAACGCTCCAACAGAATATCACCGTAAAATTGCTACTGTGTTTCGTATGGTGAGTGTGGAGAACCGGAGACATTTTTATTGGAAAGTGGAAACGAGGCATTACATCTTTGTCCTCAGGGTTGACATTGACAATTCATCTGCATTTTAATTCTTAATCGAGAATGGATGTAGATATCCCATGGGCCACAGCAACCATTTACCATCAGGTGAACTGTTTGCTCGTTTGTGAAAAAAAAAACAATTAAATCACTACGCTTAAAGCTTAAACCATTGATTTATATAACTCAATGGCTTAAACTAAAAAGTGAGACTTTTTATTAATCTAGTCACTACGTAAAAAACGTCATGTCTAGCGTCATGGTAGCTCTTCTACCACCCCATTATCCATTTTTAAATAAGTAGGTAGGTACCTAATTAATTACGGGGATCGGGAATGATTTACGAGAAAATGAAGATGGTGGATTACGCACTTCATTTTACATACCGTTACTTATATAAAAATATTAATAGCAATCCCATGAAATTATTATGAAATGTTTAGAAACACATTATTTTCTTTATTTTTCTCGTAATCAGTCAGAAGATTACTCAGCTTGTTTTGTTTTTTGCCTTGCCTGTTTGCGATTCGGTATTGCTACGTCACGTCACACGTCACAAAGCAAAACTTCGTGTCTGTTCTAGAATGATCGGTCAGATATAGCCATCTCTTTCCCTTGCACGTAATAGAACGAGATAAAGATAAAAGTTCACAAACTTCGGGCTTCGGCTTTCGTCTGTTCGGGCCTCGGGGTTCATCGTTTCCGTACAATGAACGTTTATTGATCGACGTACTTCATGTGTATAAAAACGGCCGACCCTCCTCCCGCACTTCATTTACAAGAGACTTGAAAAAGGAACAAGACGTGTGACTAAAGTTCACGTGTGATCATTTTACAATTAATAAATATAATTAAAGCTGCTGATTTGGAAATTCTAGTTCTTGGATAAATTTTTGTTAATTGGTAAGTACTCTTACATTTTCTTTTAGATTTGCAACATAGACATTGTATGGTTTTGGTTGAAATGCGTAGTTTTGATCGAACGCCATTTTGTCTGACGTGGGATTTGTAAAACATGTAATGCAAATAAATAGTTTATGTAGTCTTTGTTTTAAAGAAATGTAGTACATCTAAGCCTAAAATATCGACTACAGTTTCACGGGTTAGATTGACATATTTCTTTAAATTTTTACATTTGGTATTTTATGTAGGTCATTTAGACAATACTTCATTATAAATAATAAAAATTTTACAACAATTTGTTATTATTGCTACTATGATATAAATAAATTTCATTGTACTTGTAAAATAACCTTTGGTTATGACCTAAATATTATCGGAGACAATAAGACATGGGTGGGGCCGTAGTCTTTATTCTCCGCCATCTTAGATGTTGGGATCTTTTGTTTCGTAGATTTATTTTACATTTGAAAAGTATTTATAAAAAAAATCAAGTATTGACGTCAATAACAACAGTGAAATATTAAATGTGTGTAAATTAGTCATCAAAATATTTCATAATATAAACAAATTTGCCAATAGAATATTTTTGTTATTAGATCAAACAAACAGCTAATGCAATAAATGCATGTTATGTAAACTCAAAATATCATTAAAATTTATCAATTTTCGGTCAGGAATTATTGCCTATAATTTCACGGAAGTAAATGACTGTATTTATTAGTAAAGACATCACCAACCTAACAGCTATGGTTACATCTTCTTTGTTAGATTATTGTTGACCAATGTTTGTGATTTGTCATCATCTAAATTATAAAATTTGTTGTCGTACATAAATGTAATCTTGTTTTTTTTTCTTTTACAGAACAATATGCAGATTTTTGTGAAGACTTTGACGGGCAAGACCATTACTTTGGAGGTGGAACCTTCAGACACAATTGAGAATGTGAAGGCTAAAATCCAGGACAAGGAAGGCATTCCACCAGATCAGCAAAGGTTGATCTTTGCTGGTAAACAGCTGGAAGATGGGCGCACACTCTCTGATTACAACATTCAGAAAGAGTCTACACTTCACTTAGTGCTCCGTTTAAGAGGTGGTATGCAGATCTTTGTCAAGACCTTGACAGGCAAGACTATCACGTTGGAAGTAGAGCCTTCTGATACAATTGAGAATGTGAAGGCTAAAATCCAGGACAAGGAAGGCATTCCCCCAGACCAGCAGAGACTTATTTTTGCTGGCAAACAGCTGGAAGATGGGCGCACACTCTCTGATTACAACATTCAGAAAGAGTCTACACTTCACTTAGTGCTGCGTTTGAGGGGAGGCATGCAAATTTTTGTCAAGACCTTGACTGGCAAGACTATCACATTAGAAGTGGAACCTTCAGATACAATCGAGAATGTGAAGGCTAAAATCCAAGACAAGGAAGGCATTCCCCCAGATCAGCAGAGGTTGATCTTTGCGGGCAAACAGCTTGAAGATGGACGCACACTGTCTGACTACAACATTCAAAAAGAATCCACGCTTCACTTGGTGCTCCGTTTAAGAGGTGGCATGCAGATCTTTGTGAAGACCTTGACTGGCAAGACTATCACATTAGAGGTGGAACCTTCAGACACAATTGAGAATGTCAAGGCTAAAATCCAAGACAAGGAAGGCATTCCCCCAGATCAGCAGAGGTTGATTTTTGCAGGAAAACAGCTCGAAGATGGACGCACACTCTCAGATTACAACATTCAGAAAGAATCCACCCTCCACTTGGTATTACGTCTGAGAGGTGGTATGCAAATCTTCGTTAAAACTTTGACAGGGAAGACCATCACATTGGAGGTGGAGCCTTCAGACACTATTGAGAATGTGAAGGCTAAAATTCAAGACAAAGAAGGCATTCCTCCAGACCAGCAGCGTCTTATCTTTGCTGGCAAACAACTAGAAGATGGTCGCACTCTTTCTGACTACAATATCCAAAAAGAATCAACCCTTCATTTAGTATTACGTCTCAGAGGTGGAATGCAGATCTTTGTGAAGACCTTGACAGGAAAGACTATCACTTTGGAAGTTGAGCCTTCTGACACAATTGAGAATGTGAAGGCCAAAATCCAGGACAAGGAAGGCATTCCTCCAGACCAGCAAAGGTTGATTTTTGCTGGTAAACAGCTTGAAGATGGACGCACACTATCTGATTACAACATTCAGAAGGAATCAACTCTTCATTTAGTATTACGTCTGAGAGGAGGTATGCAAATTTTTGTAAAGACATTAACGGGCAAGACCATAACTTTGGAAGTTGAGCCATCGGACACAATTGAAAATGTAAAAGCTAAAATTCAGGACAAGGAAGGCATTCCTCCAGACCAGCAGAGGTTGATTTTTGCTGGCAAACAGCTTGAAGATGGACGCACACTGTCTGACTACAACATTCAAAAAGAATCAACACTTCACTTGGTGCTCCGTTTAAGAGGTGGCATGCAGATCTTTGTCAAAACCTTGACAGGTAAGACCATTACATTAGAGGTGGAGCCTTCGGACACAATTGAGAATGTGAAGGCCAAAATCCAGGACAAGGAAGGCATCCCTCCAGACCAACAAAGATTGATCTTTGCTGGCAAACAACTAGAAGATGGACGCACACTCTCAGATTATAATATTCAAAAAGAATCAACCCTTCATTTAGTATTGCGTCTGAGAGGAGGTATGCAGATCTTTGTGAAAACCTTGACAGGAAAGACAATAACTCTAGAAGTTGAACCATCAGACACAATTGAGAATGTGAAAGCTAAAATTCAGGACAAAGAAGGCATCCCCCCAGATCAGCAGAGGTTGATCTTTGCTGGCAAACAACTAGAAGATGGACGCACCCTCTCAGATTACAATATCCAAAAAGAATCTACCCTTCATTTAGTATTACGTCTCAGAGGTGGAATGCAGATCTTTGTGAAGACCTTGACAGGAAAGACCATCACTTTGGAAGTTGAGCCTTCTGACACAATTGAGAATGTAAAGGCAAAAATTCAAGATAAAGAAGGCATTCCTCCAGACCAACAGCGTCTTATCTTTGCTGGCAAACAACTAGAAGATGGGCGCACTCTTTCAGACTACAATATTCAGAAAGAGTCCACACTCCACCTCGTGCTTCGACTTCGTGGAGGCATGTAAATAAATCATGCTTGGCAGTTTCTTTCTTGCATTCCTTTAATTTGATGTGGTAGAAAACAAATAAAACTGCTTTAGATCTCAAAATTTCTTTTATTTTGTCCCACATTTTTTAACAATGTATAGATCAGATTAAAAATATTTTAACATAATTTACATGTATAATAACTTGTTTTTCGTAACTTAGTTTTCGCTTTCCTGTTGGTTACACTTTTTGAAAATTCTTGTGCATTTGAAAACTATGTGAATAATTCTAATATAAAATATTGATTACAATAATTATTACAAAATTGTGATACAGATATAGTAGTCTCATAATAGCTAATTATTTAAAACATCACATTACATTAAGAACATACAAAGTTAAAAACTGTAAAATGAAGGCTAACATTCTTTTGCTCAGTCAACACTGAGGTGAAGTTTTGTTACACAATGTCATTTAGTTTTAAATATAACTGAGTTTCTAGGGTCTCTTAAATTTTTGCACACTTAATTTTTCTTTGAGTGTGTGTGACCGAAACAGACCGGTTTATTTATTTTTAATCTAAATAAATATAATTAGAGTGCAGAAAGAAACATAAACCTTTACATTTTTCAAACAAATTAACTTTCCCACTATGCAATTGTCAAATATTACCTCACAGTGGTGCTGCCTTGATGGCAGAAAAAGTGGATTTGACACAAGTAGAAAATAATATACTCTGGTACTAAACACCATGATATATTTTATTCTTATACATTAAGCTTTGCTCTACTTTCATTGAAATTTCATACATAGTTTTAAAATTAATTAATGAAGGATGAAAGCCTAATTGATTTAAAAAAATATTTCAACGGCTTAAAATGCTCTTAATGCCTACCAGGAGAGGATTTAGTTGCATTTCATTTTAGTACAATTTACCCTTTAAGCGCGTGGCTTGGGCTTGGCTACATGCCCTTAGCACGTGGCTACAAATCGATAAAATAATACCTACAATAAATAAGGAGAAGAAAAGCATAAGGTCAAAAGGTTAAAGTATGGTCTCGGCCCATAATTTTGTTAAAAGAAAGCTTTTAGTTACAAGATTAAATCGATAAAATTAATAGTATGAAGTTGCCGTAATCCTTAAGAATAGTCAGCCCACCACAAGTCTATATAGCTCAACATAGGCCTCCCCCAGGGAATGCCACGGATGACGTTCCTGAACCTTTCTTTCCTTCCTGCATCTCTTGTCAGCTCGTCTCTCCACCTAGTGGGGAGTCGAAATTCATTCGGCCGGAAAAAGTACGGTGACGTAATAACTCGCGATTCGCCATGCTCTACTAGCTATGCTTAAAACCTGAATAGGTAACTATTTTAAAAATATTGGTTCTAAAAATATGCAATAAAAAATCTTCCCAGTTTTCACTCTAAAATCGAACCCGGAGTCCTTGATATTAAGTTAGGTACCAAAAAGAATGTCATAAAATAAATTCATTTTTCTTTTTAATTTGAAAATGACATGGTATGTCTATGTCAAAGATATCTGCTGAAACTTAAGGCGTAGTCCTTCACAAGATTGCTTGTCAAAAGTAGTTAAATGTACGGCCCGTTGTAGGAAAACTTAAAAAAGGAGAAATTATTAAGAAAACTCTATGTGAAAATGTAAGTGAAGATTTTGCCTCTACTTCACACAATTTTAGTTCTTACTAAACCTTTCGACTAATGCAACCTTTAGCTCTGTTGCAACAGCCCTGATTTAGGTATAACATAACATGTAATATTCATAACCAACCTTCTACTACTTCATAGATAAGTTAATGCTTTAGGTGAGTCTAGCTAAACATTGCTGTATTGTCACTACTTTTTATAAATATAGTGCTTTACTTTAGGTAGGTACCTAGGTAGGTAAATTGTTAGATTGGCCTCATCAATAGCCAACTTTCATGTTAAATTGTTAAAATTAAGTCCTCTACAAACATCTTTTGCAACCTTTTTAAATAAGATAGGAAAAATTTATGGAAATACTAGCGTGATCGACCGTTGCGTACGTAGCATAGATAAATAAATATGTAGCATTTTATAGTGTGTAGGTACGTAGTACCTACTATTATTTATTCTGTGGTGTAGGTGAATACACCACGAGTGAAATCTCGAGAATTTGAAAAACCGCTCCGAGCTTCTCATAGTAATAACTTCGGTAAATATTACTGCATGTATTCATGTGAAACAAAAACTAGTGCGATGTACGTAAAATAAGCTTTTATAATAGATATATTTTAATGCCGAATATTCCCGCTTGTCAGGCTCATTGTCTTCTATTGTGTCTGAAAATCGGTTATGTGTTAAAATGATTATTATCATCATCGTCATCACGTGACTTCAGAAGCTATGATTAAAATACTTCATGTCTTTATTTTAAGTTTTGATTCAGATTTTAGTTATTACCGTTACCGTACATCCTATCAAGGCTCACAGCCGAACATAGGCCTCCCCCATAGATTGCCTCATAGCCTCATAACTCATAGGGGGAAAATTGCCATAGTTCCCATGCAGGTTGGCAACTGCAGTTTTTAATTTCTTGGAAGACACTGCTGCCTATCTCATGGTTTCATAACTATGTTGCCTTTTACGGTACTCAGGGGACGATACTGGGTAGTGGCTATTGTAACTCCGTTGTTATTACACGGTAACATTAAATGTTGCCACCTTACAACAAGTTTTTTTTTCACGGAGTAATGCAACAGATTCAATGAATGTTTTAATTCTTTATAATATTCTTTAGGTGAATCATAGATTTTTTCCGACATCTCTTATGTACGTCATCAAGTAGGTAATGACGTAATTTACATTAGTTACAAGTCATGGGTTCAAATCTAAGCATAGCTAATATTATTATGAAATGCGCACGAAATAGAATTTCTCACTACTGATATAAATCGATTTTGTTTTAAGCAGATGAAATTATTCCGGATGTTCATATTTAACGTAAATACCGAAATAAAGAGCCGGCATAAAATAGTTTAATTCATAGATAAACCTACAATATAAGAAACCTTTATGCTTACAAATCATCGAGAAAAATATCTGGTGAAATTTACGGCATAAGGAAAAAGTAATAAACGTCAAATTTAATAATGAAATCATATTAACGTATCTTTAAAATATATTCAATTAATCTAAAACATGTACGAAGTGTAATGTAAAATAGTTTACACTATTTCTGAAAATATATAAGTATTCAATATGTATGCAGATGGCCACCCTGAACAAATCGAAGGCAATTATAAATCATTACAAGATCGTATAATGGAAATATCGGATAACCAAAACAATATTGTTACTAAATTCGACATTCTGACCAAAAATGTAGACGAGTTTCGTAATATATTGTCGCAATTTTCCGAAAAAATGGTCGCTTTAGAAGAGTCTGCTACGGATAAAAGAAAATTCAGAAGCGAAATTAACGTTTTAAGAAAACGCATCGACGATCTCTATGCCATCGTAAAGGAAGGAAAAGAAGACAACTCCTGTCCTAGTGACGATATCCAAGAAGTTGAATCGTGTCATTCAGAATTTTCTTGTTCTTCAAAGGTATACTTCGTCAAACTTTATAAAGACCTTAGAGGCAAAGGCAACACTCGCACAGACTATATCTATTATTGTGAACTTTAGAACTATGGTGATGTGTTTCGAGTGGAAGGAGACGGGTGCCGGAAACCTTTTTCTTGACTTCAAATAGGAGGAGGTTCTCAATTCGACTGTATTTTTTAATGTGTGTTACCTTAGAAATTATTTTAGGTGAACCGATTTTGAAGATTCTTTTTTAATTTGAAAGCTGGTGCTTCTCATGTGGTCCCATATATTTATATTGAAGTCTGTTGCACAACATTTTTAATCTTACCACTTTGTTACTGATTGGCTTTCCACGTAGATTTAGTTTATACTAAATCTATGGCTTTCCATATTTGCCTCAGGTTTATCGTTTCAACTTAAAGGGATCTCCAGATCTCTACTCTCATCATACGAAACACAGCATTAAGTTGTTATTCTACGCTGGTATTCTGTGAGAGCGTGATCCTACCACGTCGAGCCGACACATTCGTGCTACTACCATAATTAGGGTTGCCAGATGGTTGGGATTTGCCTGGATTCTCCCGCCATTTTAAGTGATCTCCAGACTCCAGAAAAAACTCAAAATTTCCAGACGAACAACTTCTCGGAAATTTAACGTGAAGCCTTGGATTTCATAAAAGATGAATTAGTTATTAGACTGAACTATGAAGTAAATTGTTTGAATTTAAATCTTTTCTCAATGCTACTAAAGGATCCAAATTGGTGGACTCTAGTAAAGTCCAATGCCAAATAGATGTGTCAACCTAAAAATTAAGTGAACCTAGATTACTTATGTATCAGCAATGTTAAGTCTTTTTGTAGCACCATAATTAAAAAGAAACCTTTTTTTTAAATTTTTATTTCTCCCGGCAACAAAACTAAAATCCCGATAATTCCAAAATTTGCCCAGATAAACCTAATCCTAATAGATTTGCAGTATTGCTCAACACGTAACAACATTTGCGCATTACGCAGTCGCTTTTAGGTTGTATTATAGAAGGCTCTATATTTTAGAAGGTATGTAGCCGTTTTCTTGATACTAATTCAAATATTGTTCTTCAGGTTGCCATGACAACCGGTCTTGACCGGGACACGATACGGGCCGCATATGAAGATGTTCGGTCTGACGCTACGCCTACTGAGTGGTGAGCTGTGTTTTTTTTCCTTTATCTCTTGATCCCGTTTTTAATTACAATATTACACCGGTTACACATCTGGTTTTGTATTCTTTTTTAATAACCATAAAGTGACAAACCAGTTAAAAGTCCTTATTATGGTGAGTAACTTGAAGTTAGTTGCAAGTGTCCAGGGCTGCACACTTGCAACTAACTTCAAGTTAAAAAGCCTACAGATGTCGACATGTCTTACAGTTTGTAACTACACTTGCTCCTTTTACCACTCAGACTGAAACATAGCAGTAAAAAGCCTTGCTGCCGTTATATTAGTAGTACCTATAGTTGTAGCACGAATGGGCACAGGCCGAGATTCCGAGAGACGCACTTCTCCAGTACATTTTTTATAGAATAATGGTGACAAACGAGCACATAACAGGTCCACCTGATGGTAAGTGGATGATGTGGCCCAAAGACAACTACATCAATCTTAGATTAAGAATCGAATTGCAGATGCATTGTCACCCCTGAGACGACAAGGACGAAGATACTAATATTACAAGGGTAAAGGATAATATGGTCGAGCCATGCTGCACCTATATTACTGGTATAGTAGTAGCACGGTCGGCTCGACCGGGTCTGGACCACGCTCTCACAGAATACCAACGTAAAATAGTAGCTTAATGTTGCTGTGTTTCTTATGGTGAGTGTAGAGAACTGGGGACCCTTTTTACTGGAACTAAGGCATCTTAGTCCTCACGGGTGACAACGCATCTGCATTTTGATTCGTAATCGAGGGTGGATGTAGGTGTCTATGGGACACAGCATCCACTTACCATCAGGTGGACTGTGTGCTCGTTTGTCACCCTATCCTATAAAAAATACTGCTTGACGGAAGAAATAGGTAAGATGATGGTAACAACACTGATGGACTCGGTCTAGATCTAGAAAAGTTTGTATTTAAATTCGGTCTTAGATGGTTGGTTCTAGGGCTTACTTTTGCTGAATATACAATAATATACATACCTATGTACGTCTATTTGCAATTTTGATGAGTATGAATTTATCTTTCTGAAGATTTAGTTTAAAATATTTTTATTAAATTTAAAGAACGGTGAGTTGATAGTAGAGAAATTGGGAATAGGGCAACGAAACCCAAGAGGCCAGCAGCTTGCTGACTTTATGGAGAAAGAGGGACTCTTTATGATGAACTCTTTCTTTCAAAAGCGGTCCCACAGAAAGTCGACCTGGTCGAGGCCCGACGGTTCGACAAAAAATGAGATTAACTTCATTATGACGACCAGACGACAACTGTTCAGTGATGTCTCAGTGATCGCAAGGGTGAAAACTGACAGCGATCATCAAATGGTGAGAGGCACACTGAACCTAAACGAGAAGCTGGAGAGGTCACGTCTAATGAAGTCAACTCTCCGTTCCCCTAGTGGTTTAATTCAACGCCCCGAAAACTTTCAGCTCGAGTTACAAAATCGAATGACAGCTTGTGGAAACTGTCCATGCGATCGGAGTTAAGTTCTGTAAGCCCCGTCGCAGAAGAGCACAAAAACTCATCGATCACACTCTTAATCTCATGGCTGTTAGACGGGAAATGAAGCTGCAGTCTTCAACAGATTTGACAGCATACAGGCAACTAAACAGATAGATCTTCAAATGCGTGCGGCGGAACTTACGCAACTTTCTATACAGCTCGTATTGAAGAAGCGATCGTGCGGAACCAGGGCTCCAAAGTCTTTGCCAGAGATCTATCTGCCAGAAAAAGTCAACAGAACATCTGAAGACCGAGTGTGGCAGCATCGTTTCCAACACACCTGGAATTTTGAGTGAGATTAAGAGGTTCTATGGGCAGCTGAATACGTCATCGATGAAGCCACACATAAGTGTGAATAACGATCTTAGAGCAAGTCTTATCCGACACTATTCCGATGATATCCCGGACATGTCTGAGTGAGATTAGAATGGCTCTCCAGCACTTTAAAAAAGACAGGTCCCCAAGCGAAGATGGAATTAGGCGAAGCTTCAGAAAGCAGGTGGAAAACCGATACTTAAAGTCTTTCAAAAGCTCTTCAACTCCGTCCTCCATAGTGGCATTACTGCAGAAGCGTGGAGCAGAAGTGCGGTGGTCTTGTTCTTCAAGAAAGGCAACAACGTTCTCTCGAAGAACTACGGACTGATTTTCCTTCTGAGCCGCGTCTACGTGGTGTTTTCGAGAGTCATTAGTCAATACGAATCGTTTCGCTCGCAGACTCGACGACTTCCAGCCTCCCGAAAAAGCTAGTTTCCTAAAAGACTTTAGCACCATAGACCACATACACATCCTTCGCAAAATTGATACTGAAGTCCGAAAGTACAATCTGTTACATTGTCTTGCGTATGTGGACTATGAGAAAGCATTTGATTCCATCGAAATTTGGGCGGTGCTGCAGTCCCTTCAGCGGTGCCAAGTTGACTGTCGGTATATCGAAGTGCTGAAGTGTTTGTAAAGTAGGGCTACGATGGCTATCCAGGTTCAGAATCAGAGTACGAAACCTATCAACTACAGAGAGGTATAAGATAAGGTAACTTAATATCCCCGAAATTCTAAACCGCTGCATTAAAAGACGATTTCAAGCTACTAGACTGGAAAGGATGCGGTGTTAACGTCGATAGCGAGTACATCCTTCGATTTGTCGACGATATAGTCTTTATGGCAGAATCACTGGAGGATCTAAGCACTATGCTTAAAGACCTAAATAATGTCTCCCAACGGATAGGTCTTAAGATAAACTTGGACAAAACGTGTGTAATGTTCATGTCACACCTGTGCCGGTGTTTACCTAGGACAAATAGTCCGCATAGGTAAGTCCAACTTCGACCGAGATGTCAATCAACGGATTTAATTCGGCTGGGCAGCGTTCGGGAAATTACGACACATCTTCTCGTCAGGCATACCTCAAAACTAGATTGTACTACCAGTGCGTGTTGCCAGTGATGACCTATGGATCTAAGAAGTTGTCCTTCACTGCTGGCCATATGAAGACGCCCAAAGTCGCTCAGTGAGCTGTGGAGAGGGTTATGCTCGGAGTTTCTCTGCATGATAAACTTAGAAATGAGGGTATCCGCAGAAGAACCAGAGTGACCGACATAGCCCAACGGATTAGTAAGCTGAAGTGGCAATGCCACGCCAAATGCCGGCCTTATAGCTTAAAGAACCGATAACCGATGGATAAAAAGGTTCTCGAGTGGCAGCCTCGTACCATCGGGCGAAGTGTAGGTCGTCCCCCCACTAGATGGAGTGAGGATCAGGTAAAACATGCAGGAAGTCGATGGATGCAAGTGGCTCAGGACCGTACTTTGTGACATTTTCCTAACAAAAATAACTACCCCGCCATGTAATTTGCCACAAAAAATTCGTTGATGCCCCAATTGTCTAGTAACATGTGACGGTATCGCAGGGCGGTGTTCAAGTTTGAAGGCTCCCGCATCGTGTGCTCAGCGCGGGGAAGCGACTTCACCGAATTCCGCAAGCAATTCGCCGACGACGAACGCGCCTTTGGATACCTCAGGTAAGTCCAGTTACGGTTATATAAGAATATCCACTACCTACCCCAGATCATCCCGTGGATGTCGTAAGAGGTGACATAGGGAAGAAAATCAGGAGATGGGCAGCAGCGTCTTCCAAATGATGACTAAAAATAAAAAAACTGCGGTTGCCAACCGGCTTGCCAAGCATTGCAACTATCCCTCCTATGAAGTAATCTGTAGGGGAGTATTATGCTCGCCGTGGAATTTAATAGGCTGTAACGGTATACCTTCAGATATTAAATTGTGATATGAAATCATTTTGTTTGTTGGTAATGATTTTAGATGAATATGCATGTTTTAGTTCGTGTTTTACAATATTAGTTTTGGCTTGGTTTCGCCGTCACAGTGCTCATTCAAACTTTTTTGATCTAAGTTATCAATGTGCAAGTTTTAATATGTAACGTGGCAGAGCCACGCTTCGGCTATACTATGCTTGCAGCACGAATGGGTAAACTCGACCGGGTAGTGACCAGCGTGAAATATGCTGCGATTTAATATGGCGGGTGACGGGATTCGGAGACTTTTGCCTGATAACGGGACATTCCCTCTTAGTCCTCAGGGGTAACAACGCATTTACATTTTGGTTCTTAATCGAGGATACCTATATGTAAATGTCTAAGGGCCACGGCTCCAATTACCATCAAGTGGACTGTGTTCTCGTTGTCACCTTTAATATACAGGATAAAATTGGTGTTAGAAACTCATTAAGTTAGAACCCTCGGTATCAGGTAGCTACTTAAATATACTTTATGTTAAATTTACGGGTACTTACCTAAGCACGTTAGTTACGACTACTTCATTTAAATTATATGGTGTATAATTTCTTTCTTAAAGACAAAAGGGTGACAAACGAGCACACAGGCTACCTGATGGTAAGTGAATACTGTGGGCCCATAGACATCTACATTTATCCTCGATTAAGAATCAAAACGCAGATGCGTTGTGACCCCTGAGGACTAAGATGGAATGCCTTGTTTCCAGTTCCACTCCCCATACGAAACACAGCAGTATCAAGCTGCTATTTTACGCTGGTATTCTGTGTGAACGTGGTCCTTCCCCGATCGAAACGACCCGTTCGTGTTTATCGATGTGAGTAGCTCAAGGCCACACTGTGCCAAACTATTCGGGAAGCTTGTGTTCAGAGTGCAGTACTATTAAATTGAAACCAGTACAAGTCGAGATCTATTAGTTTTTTTCTGAAACGGTACGTTTTACTTCTCATTGCGAACTCATAACATTTATTCTCTGGACTTGTGGACCGGTTTTAATCGCCACGCTTGGCGAAAATATCGATGTACCCGACGCTAGTGAGCACCTTTGAAGAGCAGCTCACCGTGTACAGTCTATGTAGTACATCTAGCGTACACGAGATTTGTTATAAACCTTAGATTCTTCTTGCATTTTCCACAGCAACAGTGCCGTCTTTAGGATCAACGAGGCTATGGGCCAAGGTACTGGCTGGGGCCTATGTAAGGGATGGAAAATCCTTAAATTTTAACTTTATCATTTTTCAGTTTACAATAACGCAATAGGCTAAATCGTAACCCCGTCTCTTAACACCCCACATATGAGAGTTCAATAAATAAATTTTTTGAATCTAAAAAACTAATACCCCACCAATTCTAATTTAAATAAAATTGAATGAAAACCATATATTATAATCTATACAAAGAACAATACTTATATTTATTCATATACAAATATATGAAAGTGACGTCATCCGTGACATCATAGCCTATAACAGCATTGGTTAGCGAGCCACTGCATACCAAGTCTATAACTACAGCGCGATGCTGCGCCGAATCTTGTTTAATAAACAAGGGCTATCGGTTTTTCTTCGAGGAAGTGCCGTAAACTGTCCCCGCTGTATTAGATCGGACTACAATATTTCGTCGTTCCGGATCGACCTCAGTTCTCAATGGCTTCTCAAACGAACACTTGGCATTTCAACTTATTTCTTAATTCATTTTTTACTTTACAATTAACTTATTTGCTTTGTTTTAAATACCCGTAATTTTAGCCATGCATACATTTAATTTCTTACAATTTACAATTTTCGTATATTTTAATTTCTTTAAACAAACGATTAAATGTAATGTTTATAATGCCATGTAAACGTTTTCTCAATTACAATATTCAAACTAACGCGCCAAAATCTTCATTCGGATTCTTACGCATGCGCGCTCTTGCGCGCAAGCAGAAGCGCGATTGTTTTGAAAGAAACTTGTTTAAGCTTGCTTTTGTTTTTGGTGAGAAAATGAATAGTCAACGTCCGTGTTTCGACACGTGAAACAGCCAGCAGGTTCATTAGTTCATTACCAGATTTTCACGCGATGTAGCAACAGTTAATTTAGTATTGTTTATCGAATCATTTGAAGTACATCAAAATCATGAATCGTGTTTATGAAAGTGGTGCTGCAAAAAAACGAAAAGCGAAAGAAGAACAAAAGAAAATAGACAAGTTACCAAAAATTACTGGATTTTTAAAACAACATGACATTACTAGTAAGTAATACTATATATTATTTGAATTAAGAGTGATTAGTTCATTAATTGAGTCCTATAACCTCATTGTTGTTCGCATGTAGCAAAAGTTTTTTTATGAAAAGTCGATTTAATATCATTTTTATGAAATTAATTTATGAAACAAACCGTGCTAACAGTATGATAATAAGATCATTGCATTTTATTTATTAGGCAAAAATGATGAAACGCCAAAAGGTACCGCTGATTTACAGGAAAATGTTATTCAAAACGAATCAGTCGATTTGAATCCTTCAGAACAGTCGGAATTATCAGTAGCTACACAAGTTCTTATAAATCATAGAACAGAAGGTAAATAAAGAGTTTCAAATTGTAAATATTTAGATTCTAAAAAAGCTGAATAATTTTAAATATTTTTTTCAATTAAAAGCGATTTACAAAAATATATTTTATTTTAATAGAGGAGGCAGCATTGAGAAGCACGTCAGAAAAAATTGAAAGTTATTCGACTGATATTGCGTTATGGGGCGAAATCAACGAGAAGTTACGATTATACTGGTTGCAAAAAAAATCCAGGTTTATGCAGCAATAAGGATAAAGATTTCTCAAAATCTGCACGGATTTACCAAGAAGGAGATAAACAAAAAGTGAGAACTCTAAACAAATCATTATTTCAATTGAAACTACAAAATAATGAAATAGTAGAGCGTGAGTGGTTATCGTATTCGCCATCAACTGGACGTATATATTGCTTTGTATGTCGACTTTTTTCATCTGAAAAAGATCAATTTACATTTTACGGATTTAATGATTGGAAACACCCAGAGCGAATTACGGAGCATGAGCAAAGCAAAGCTCATAAACAAACTTTAACTATTTATTCTAAACGGAGAAGAGAAACTGGTAGTTTAGAAAATGCATTAACGATTCAACAAAAAAATTAGAAAAATTATTGGATTCAAGTATTACGTCGAATAACTGACACTATAAAGTTTCTTGCTTCACGAGGTCTCGCTTTTCGAGGGGAGAACGAACGATTCGGATCTAGTCAAAATGGCAATTACTTAGGTATTTTAGAATTACTGAGCGAATATGACCCTTTCCTTAAAGAGCACATTAATACCTACGGAAATAAAGGACATGGAGTAACATCATACTTATCAGCTAATATTTGTGAGGAATTTATAGGCCTTATGGGGGGAAAAAGTTCTTGCTTGCATTATAAGTGAGTTGAAGAAGGCAAAATATTATTCTTTTTCTGTGGATTCTACGCCGGACATCACTCATCTAGATCAATTAACGTTCACCGTGCGCTACGTTACCGATCAGGGGCCTATCGAACGTTTTTTAATGTTCGTTCCTATAGAAGGTCATAATGCCGAATATTTAACAGAGGTTGTAGTCAAATTTTTTAAAGATAATGATATTGATATAAATGACTGTAGAGGTCAATCTTATGACAACGCATCGAATATGTCTGGACGCTATTCAGGACTGCAAACCAGGATAAGGGAAATCAATAAGTATGCTGATTATATTCCTTGTGCCGGGCACTCGTTAAATTTAGTCGGCGTTAAGGCAGCTGAATGTGTTAATGCAGTCGTTAAGTATTTCTATATCGTACAAAATTTGTACACATTTTTATCAGGATCGACTTATAGATGGCAAAAACTATTGTCATATTTAGGAACGAAAAAAAAGTCGTTAAATCTTTATCCGCTACTCGATGGTCAGCCCGAGCTGATGCAATCATCGCTCTTTTCACAGGTCATACAGATATTACGAAAGCTCTAGATGATTTATCAAAGGATGATACGCAGTCTAACGAGACTAGACTTGAAGCTAAGACCATTTTAAAGCAAATTACAAAATTTGAAAATGTCTTTATAACTGTGGTATGGCACGAAATCTTGACACGTATTAATGATACATCTAAAAATTTACAAAAAGAAAATATGGATTTGTATATAGCATGCAGTCTTTTAAATTCCTTAGAATTGTATTTATTGGATATCAGGGATAAATTCGATGAGTTTTTAGAAAAAGCAAAAAGCTTTACTGATATCTGCGAAAGTGAATCTACATCTGAGCCAAGAAATCGAAGAAGAAGCGTAAAACTTACTCGCTTTGAAGGAGAGAGTGAACATACACAATTTACTGGAGATGAAAAGCTCAAAATAGAGATTTTTTATCCGATAATCGATTCACTTTGTTCCAATTTGAAAACCAGAAAAACTGCTTACGAAACGGTGAATGATAACTTCAAGTTTTTTACTGCTCTACCAAACATGACATACGAAGGAATAAAAGAATGCTGCGAAAAGCTTGCCAGAAAATATGATCAAGACATTTCTGCAGAAAATTTAATATCAGAATGTTTACATTATAAACATTATCTTCGTGATACACGAAAGAACGAAGAATTATTTATTCCTGATCTATACTTGCAACTGAAGAAAGAATTTCTGACGTCTACATTCCCAAATATTGAAATAAGTCTCCGAATATTCCTTACCCTAATGATCACCAATTGTGCTGGTGAACGATCATTTTCTAGATTAAAGTTGATAAAATCCGATCATCGAAGCACAATGTCACAGTCACGATTGAATCATCTAAGTTTAATGAGTATAGAATCGGACTTATTAAAATCGATTGATTTTGATGAACTCATATCTAATTTTGCTGCGAAGAAATCGAGAAAAAAAGTTTTTTAAGCTGTATATAATTACTGTTATTTTAGTGCAAAAATAAATTTTTAAACAAATTTTCTAAATCTTGTTTCTATTTTACCAAGTGTGTGATTTGATATTTTTCTTGTATATCGAAAATTTTCAGAATTGTGGGGCCCCTGCCTACCTCGGGGCCTCGGGCCAGGGCCCTGCGGGCCCTGCCTTAAAGACGGCACTGCACAGCAATGGAACGAAATACGGTCACAATATCCATAGAGATAAAAGATATCTGCGTATTCATCGTTGGAAAATGATTGCCTTGCATGATCTCCGCGTCTTGGTGGTTCCGCCGCCATAAAACTTTGAAACTCAACTTCTTTAAGTGTAACAGGGAGGGATATGCGCGCGTGTGTACGATGCCTGTAATACTGATGACTGATTGAACAGTTTCTTCTTGTTTAACTTGTTTCTAATTTCACACTAAATGTAAACAATAGCGTAAGTTCAAAAGCACAATCTTTTACGAGCATTCCCGCAGCTGTTGATAAGGTTCCGAGAAGCGATTGTTTGGGATTACCAAAAACATTGCTACTCGGAACTTGTCTACCTAGCCCCTTTTTTTCAAGTTTTTTCTGTACTATTTAAGTTACAAGCTAAATTGATACTTCGTTGGGTAGCTAGATAAGTAGGGATGTTTTTAACATGATTTGCACAATTGGTCACATACAATTATTTTTCACAAAATCATTTTTATTTTTAATTACTTACTTATCTTCTGTTTGGAAAAAGTTGTACTTTTAGTAGCGTTACTTCGAAAATGATGAGACTTTTTGCACACTGTAGTATTGATAAATAAGTATCCAGGTTTTCATTAAGTAAAAATAATAAAATGAAAATAATACAGCTGTAAGTTTTTTTTTAGAAATTTTTGACACGACTTTTGGGATTTTTGATAAAAATAATTAAACTTAAATATCTCGAAATTGGTCCACATTTGCATTTTTAAACAAACAAAAACATATTTGTTGGGTTTTTTGTGTGTGAAAAAAAAAAAAAGAGAGGGGGGGGGGGGGGGGGGGGGTGTTTTGGATGAAGAGGGGGGGGGGGGGGGGGGGGGGGGAAAAAAAAAAAAAAAATGGGGGGGAGGGGGGAGGCGGAAATTTTTTTTTTTTTTTTTTTTTTTTTTTTTTTTTTATAATTTTTTTTTTTTTTTTTTTTTTTTTTTTTTTTTTAAAAATATTTTTTTTTAATTTTTTTTTTAATAAAAAAAAAATTAAATTTTTTATTAATTTTTTAAAATTTTTAATGTTGTTTTTTTTTTTCCCCCATCCCTTTTTTTTTTTTTTGTTTTTGAATGCATTTTATGGTTCATTTGATAGGTTATGACCCCAACTATCACGCCTTGGCGGGAATACGTCGAGTTACCAGTAACCCTGTATAAGGTATTTGTTCAACCCCGCAGAAATGCTAAAAGCCTATACAGTGTGTACGAAAAATAAATACAGCGTGATTTAACTTGACTGTGGCGCCATCCGGTGTTTATAGAACTATTGTTATCAAGTTACACAAACAGAGGCTTTCCCAACTTCCCATAGCCTCATAAGGGGAATATTTGCCATAGCTGTCATGCTTTGCATTGCGTCGCTTGGTTGGCATTCGCAGGTTTTAAGGTAAATTTTATAATTAGTTTTCTTTGGCAGGTTGCAAATGGGCGACGAGATGTCGAAACGTCGCAAATTCATGTTTATGACGTGGGTGGGGCCCAACGTTTCGGTCATCAATCGCGCCAAGATGTCCACCGACAAGGCTATCGTCAAGGATATAATTTCCGTAAGTTTTTTTAATAATGTCAAAACATTTTGAAACTAAAAACATATCTTCTCTATTGTTAATTAATTGCGATTTCGTTCTCGAATAACACTTAGGCTATGAGTCCATCTGGGTAGGTAGCATAGACATAGACATAGGTTTTATTAGCATCAATACACTAACAAAATACACATTTAGAAGTAAATAAGAACATAAAAACACACACTGGGTACAAGATGGTAAACATAATTAAAAATAAGTCTTGGCAAGAGTGAGTGATGTGATGCCAAAAAGGATTCTGTTTCAGCATATGCTACCACAGATGCTGCAGCAGCGCTGATTTGACAGAGCCCTGATAAGTATTAATTCGATATTGCGCCCGCGTCGTTATCGGTGCTAACATTACATTTAAAAAAATCTATCAACCTCAGTCAAACCTTCACTCAAAGTATACATTTTTAAGAATAAACATAAGAGTGAAAAAAATACATATACATATTATTATACGTACTATAAGGTGACACCCTAAGAGGTTAAGCACTAGTTCTGCAGTGCAAGAACGTTCCGGCCTAAAGGCTATAGAGCGCCAGTATACAGGTTGTGGAGTATTCCACCTTAGTTCTCAAAGGTGAAGAAGCATCTTAGTAGACTACTAGCGTAGTCTTATTCGCTTATAGTTTGTTGCAGGGGACCATGGACTGAAATAGCCATTCACCGTAGGTGGGCTATAAGTTTATAAAAAATATATAAAATTATTTTCGTGTGTATTTTGTATTCTGAATTCAGATCTTGTGGTAGTCCACAGGTTTAGTCTCTATGTAACTTTCATGCGTAATAAAGAATATTATTCATTTTTATTTATTTATTCTTTATTGCACCAAAGATTTTGAACAAGGTGAGCTTAGTGCTATATGGCATTCTCTACCAGCTAACCTTGGGTAGAACAGAGAGTGAGTTATGAGCAGTAAAGTTGTCATGATCATATTCAATTCAAATATGTACATGCTACACATACATAAAATATATATACATATGTACACATAATATATAATTTATACACATACACATATAAATAATATAACTAATACACATATATAAATAAATACACATATTTATACATATATATCTCAATAAATGTAAGTGGACTCAAATTTATTGGTTACGGATATGTTCGTATAGTTTTCTTTTAAAAACGTTTTTGGCAGGTATTATTCGCAGGTCAACAGGCAACTTGTTCCAGAGGGAGATGGAAGTTACTGTGAAAGAATTTGACATAAACCCAGAATGGTGGAGAGGAGTAGACAGTAATAAATTGTGTGAAGATCGGAGATTGAGAGAATGAGTGTCACTACGGAATAGAAATCTTTCTTTTAGATAAAGGGGTGAGGGAGAATTATTAAGAACTGAAAATAGAGTGGACAGCATTCGAAAATCTCTGCGCTGGCGTATAGTCAACCACTTCTGGGAGCGAAATTCTGATACGTGATCATATTTGCGCAGGCCAAAGATGAATCGTATGCAGTTGTTAAGTAACCTTTCCAACCTGCTGAGCAGCTCCTGAGAGATATTAGAGAGACAAACATCGGCATAGTCAAATAATGGAAGAATTAGAGATTGGATGAGTAGAAGCTTAGTTGAAGGGGGCAGAAAGAACTTAAGACGATAGATGGAACGAAGTATGCCTGTGACTTTACGACAAATCTCTGACACCTGTAAACTCCAACTAAGGGTCGGGTCAATAATTGAACCCAGATCCTTGACACTAGTGCGGAAAGGAACTAGACAATTTTCGTAGCGAATGGATGGTAGATCAGGTATGTTAAGTTGTGACACCAATCGACGACTACCAATGATGATAGCCTGTCATTTACTGGGATTTGCCGTTATACCAAAGCGCTGTGACCAGTCTGAAACGCGTTGCAAGTCCTGATTAATAGCTGCAATAGCGGTAGCAATTTCAACCGAGGATGCTTGTGAGTATACCTGAACATCGTCTGCATAGAGCTGGTAAGAACATTGAACGTGGGTAGTAAGAAGATTGATAAACAACGAAAACAAGAGAGGAGAAAGAATGCCGCCTTGCGGTACACCTAGACAGATCGCACCAGTCGGAAAAATCCTGACCAGACCGAACAGCCTGCTGGCGACCGCGAAGATAAGAGGAAAACCAGTTCAGTACTGGCGAGGTGAAGCTTAGGCGTGAAAATAATCCAAGGAGTAAGTCGTGATCGACACAATTAAATGCGTTTGAAAAGTCAATAAGGACCAAAACAGTCAAACATGGCCTCTCCATGCCCTCTCTAAAATCTTCTGTAACTTGAAGTAACGCTGTGGTGGTACTATGTCCCGGGCAGAAGCCATATTGATGTACTAAGGTAGATGATTTCGAAATGCAACTACCTTAGTACATATAGCCAGATATATGTACTAAGGTTGTTGCATTTCGAAATGAAAGAGGTGACTTGTTTGTGTACCAATGATTCAAGGGCTTTGGAAAGAAACGGCAGTATAGAAATAGGTCTAAAATGGGAAGGTAGGGATGGATTTGGTACTTCAGCAAGAGGCAAGATAAAAGCTTTTAGCCATAACTTGGGGAAAACACCAGTAGAGAGTGAGAAATTGATGATGTGAGTGAGAACTGGAGATATAATATCGAGTGTGAGAAGTATCATAGATCTACTCACTTCATCATAACCGGTTGCAGAAGATTTTATTGAAAGTATGTTTTTTCTAGTATCTCGTCAGTCACTGAACTGAAGTCGAAAGAATTACATGATAACAAAGGCATGGAATTAAGTTCCTGGAGAGTCGTAGCTTTGGTGGTCAAATGCAGATGTGATGCAGAAGAGAAGTGTACGTTCAAGTCATTGAGTGAAATATTTGGGATTAGGGAATTGGAATGTGATTTTCCAAATCCCAGGGAATTAAGGAACTTCCATATATCTGCAGAAGAGGAGTTTAAAATACTGTTGTGGAAGTAGAGGCGTTTGGCAGTTCTTACCACCATTGATTTATACCACCATATGGCAGTGATTACAGCCATTCCGTGCTCGCTTATAGTGTTGAAAGGTGGAACTGTTCAGATTCTTTTTAAAAATGTGAAAAGCTCGATCTCTTCTTCTCATTGCTCTGCTCTACGCACTTTATCAGTTATCCACGGTGCAGGAGGTCGACGTAACCTGACTGCTCGAACTGGCGCGTGCCTATCGAATAGGTCAAGAATTTGGGTGTTCAAATGAGCAATTTTGTCTTCAATATTATTTGCATCCAGCAATGGGCCCCATTCTATATTCTTGGCATCGCAGTGTAGTCAAATGGTGTCAATTTTATTGAAATTGCGTAAGTACACAATCACTGGCTTTGGCTTGGGAGGCTTTAATTTATACGACATGACCAAAAGATCGTGTCGAGAAAACGCTGGAACAGCCAGTTGATCATGATATAAAATATGATCCGCTGAACTAGTGCAAATGATGTCTAACCATGAACTTTCAGTGTCCATGTTGTGGTGAGTTGGACCAGATGGTAGAACCAAGTCCATGATGACTTTAAGTTTGCGACTCTGAGGGGAATCCTTTAGCAAGTTGGTGTTGAAATCACCCATTATTATAATATGTTTGTTAACAGTGCTGATGGAGTCGATCACCGATTCAATATGGGAAAAATAATCAGTTGAAGGTGTTTTGTTTTTAATTCATTATTTGTTTTTTTTTCTATTTCTACTCAGATAAAGGTATCGGTATCGGCATCGCCGATTATTTACTACAATAATCGGTATCGTATCGGCACAATTAAGTATCATACATCCTCTTACATACCTTTAACACTTACTCTCCCACTTTTAACATTATACTACTTTAGCATATGCCTCCAACATACATTGGATTAGCGCATTAGATATCCCTTGCTTCTTTCAGATATGTAAACAGGTCTGTGTTTAGGAGCGGGACATATATAAACTGTCACTTTATTTTTTGCATATATAACATGGTTATTTCCACCATACGTCAGAAACAGAACGTCGTAATTAGGTCTTTAAAGATTCTGGCAATTGTAACATGATTGTAATTAAAAGTTACATATTATACTTTAATTTGTATTTAAAAGTATAATAAATTAAAGTTAAGCTTAGTAAAATTAAACAATAAATTATGTAAAAAGTTAGCTTCAAACAAAATTTTAAAATAACCAGAAAATTTTACAATTTTTTAATACAAACAACTTTCAAAGATCTCCATGCATTATTGTAATTCAAATAAAATCATATAAATACTTCCTAACATTAAAATCAACAGTTTGTGAAACAGCTGATATAAAATCGTAACCAACTATACATTTATATTTTGCTGCATCCAAATCTATTTCTTTACTGCCAGCAATTAATTTCAACTCAACAAGTGTTGCTATCTGAGCTAGCAGGTTACTTGTTAAACCTATCTTTTCCTCAAGAATAGCATAGAATATCGCCAAAAGTCTGTCTAATGTAAACACTTTAGGTCCAAGCTGAGTGTTCAGTTTCTCACTGATTTTTGCTTTAGCCCTTACTTGTTGGAGTCTCTTCCTTTGCTTACCATGGTTCTTCATGAACAACCTTTTGTCTTCTTTTGGAGGATTATAACTGGCAAGGTATGCTGCTATAAGAAGGAATTTGGCATAATATGGAAGTTCAAAACTCTGTGCAAAACTTTTTGTTGACATGAGTTCTTCTTTTAAAGTACTTTCGAAATTTGATATTTGTGACTCCATAAAGTCTTTGGTTGGTGATATAGCTGCAGGTTTTGGGACACTTATTCTTAAATAAAGGAGTTCTAAACTTGATTTGAGTATTGGAGATATGTGACGCCAAAGCTTATTTAGGTCACTAGCTTTTATTTCATTTTTTATAATTGGTTCACAGTATTTGATGAAGTTGATTTGTGCCATGTGCTGCAATTCTATTATGTCTCGACAAGGCCTGTAAAACACACTCAAAAATGCATTCAAAAAATTTGCAAACAACTCTGGTTTCTGGAGTTCATCTTTTATTTCATTACCAATGTTTTGATCACTGAGCAATTGTCCAACAAATGTTCTGTGATGCATAAATATAATATTAAATAGATCTTCCTTCGTATAGTTAGGGAAGAATATCTGAATAGGCTCTAACGCGCCCATTTTAAAATAAAAATTGTCATACACTAAATGTGTTACAAACACAGTGCAAATGTTGAGGTTACAGAATTCGCGTAATCGTAGAAAAGTACTCATAATGCTTTGATCCATCGCTCTAAGCCTTTCAGCTCGATCGAACACTAAAATAATAGGTTCATATGTGTTTTTATCGGCCCCAAAAGCGTTTAACCAATTTACGAGATCGGACAAGGAATCACATTTTAATTCCGCATCGTCGTCGTCTTCCAGTCCAGATACTATAGCTTCAAACATTATTTTAGGTGAATAACACTCAATACAGTCAATAGTAACGTATTTATAGTCTAAATAACACAAAACTGTGGTTAAACATAAACTTTTACCGGTCGCCATACTACCGCATATAAATAAACAATACGGTAGCGGCTCATCGTAATCCCCTAATAAATTCAACAAATTGTTTAGTTGGTTTTCTCTACAAGGCACTTTATGTTGTAATTCTTCCATTTTAAACAATTGAGATTATAGCTGAAGTGAATATATAACGAGAGTAAAACAAACAAACGGGAGTGGATCAGAATAACTGACAGACGTCATTTGGTTGTTGTTTTTATTATTCGCTCGAGAGAGCAGGCAAAGGAACTAAGCCATACAGCCTTATCTTTTTTTAGTTTGAATATATAGAATTTTGAAGTGTAAAGGGCGGAACCAAGTCTTATTTTTTTCTTTCCATCTCTTCAAAATCCATAAAGGCCGAATCAAGTCTTATTTTCTTTAATTCTTCATATTTTCAAAAACCACAAAGGCTAACAGCCTGGTCACGGGACATTCGCCGTAGCGAAAATTCGCGCGGCGCGAACGGCGAGGCGTCTAGCTACTAAATCAAATGTATAGAAATGTATGATTCAAACCACGCGTAGCGGCGAGTGGTGACGTGACCGGCGAAATTTACCGGGAGAATCACGCGGGCGACTGGTGGCGTGGCGGGCGACTGAAACAAATGTATGAATCTGTACGGTGCAAGCCACGGAGTCGGGTGGCAGACGCGGTGAAAAACAGCGAATAGTATAGGGAACAAAATATTTTAGTTGTTTTCGCCGCGAAAAATGCCGGGCCGACAAAATAAACTTAAAATTCTATCCGAATTGACTTTTATCTCCAATTCTGGTTGAATATTAACAAAAATATAATTGCTGGTTTCGACAAGCATTTTGCTATTTACTCGAATTTTTTCCTAGATGCATTATATTTGTTGTAGAATTCTCCATCTATAACCCAATTCCTATTCAAACCATGTACTCCGCAATCTCTTCCAAATATTATGTCTTGAATTAAAAAAAAAATAACTTTCTAAGCAATATCCAGATAACTTTGATAAAGACATTTCACTCTCGGCCTATCTGGTCGCGGCGGCAAACATGACTTCCCGTGGCCCTCAAATAGCGCCGCGCGAATTATCGCCCCGCCTGTCACTTCGCCGTTCGCGCCGCCGATCCCCGTGGCCAGGCCGTAAAGCCAAGTTTTCTTTATATTATAGTCTTTATAAGTATCAATCCATGTAGATTTATCAGTCCAGTTTCAAGGTTCCCGCGCTTTTTTTTCTTTTCTTCACAATGTGCTGATGCGTCACATTGTGAAGCCCTTGGGAGATTTTGACGACAAATCAAACCAGCGGACAGTTGATGACGACAGCTACTCAAGTTCATAAGGCGCCTAAGCGATCAAAATAACTTGAGGTTTATATCGACATCAAAGCACTTATTTCGTCGTTTTCTCTAATAGTTCACACGCGCAGACAATTAATTCACAAAATCACATCACTTTTACGAATTAAAATCCACTTCAAACCATTATTCAAGCGACAAAACAGGAGCGACAGTCCGTCGTCGGCCAAGTTCCCGCCAAAACTCCGATGACATTTGGCCGTTGGCACTTGGCGTTAACAGATTTTGTTATTGTTACAATTCCCAAATTAAGATAGGCAAACGACTTACACCATACAGCCTAGTCTGCTTTGAATATTGTACACAAAACTTAATATTGTGTTGATGCGTCAGAATACGATGTTCTTGGGAGACATTGACGACAGCATAACTAATGAAAAGACTGAAACTTAATAAGTGGTCGGTAATGAGAATAATTTTATCAGGCCCGTCACCATCGAAACAGTTTCTACATTGTTTTTACTAGTAGGTTACATGTGCAGATATTTAATACACAAAATCGCACCACTTTTACAACCAGATATAAGATATACTATATTCTTTTAGTCCGTGGGGTGTGAACTAAGAGGTTCATAAAATAAACAAAGAGTATATAAGAAATTTGGGAATTTTTGACAGTAATTAGGAAAACCATCTGGTTGTATATGCCAGACCTAAAAAACGGTGATGGAGTTAGTTAGGCGTCAAAGAATGGTTACGTTTATGGCAAATCAGAAGTTAATGATAAGACTGATCTCTTTCTAAAAATACTTCCTTTGCCTTTTCTAAAAAAATCAAGTATACGTATTCTTTCAAGAAAATTGTTTTTGTTTCAGAATTTCGCAGTGGAACTGCAATTAGAGAGCCAAGCTGAGATTGACATCGATCAATTTAAAGATGCTCTAAACAGAGCAGGAGGTGCTAACTACGGAACTGGAGTTAGAGATTTATGAATTGCACAATGACACATCATTACGCCTTACCATCAGTCAATAAATTTATTATAGAAAATACAGTTTTATATTCACTTAACAGATCGTAGATAAATAAATGTTTATCTTGCGGTACGGTCAACTATTTTGTAATAAAGGAAACCAATACAAGCGTGCAATTTACTTTGAAAGCAAAATTTCACTTAACATCTCAAAAAATAATGTTATATTTGCTAATTTATTATCTGCGTAAGTATCATGTTAGACAGGCAGATCTACGTTTTACGATGTCAAGCAATATATACGCTTTATATGGACAAGCTTTTTCTGGATCGTATTTAAATCTAAGTAGTTTTTTAGCAATCAGTCATACTAGTTTTTAAAGTTGGAAAGAAGTGACACTTTGTTTACCTTGTCAGAATAGATACTAATTTATTTTTTTAATATTATTATTATATTGGGCAGAATTTATCTATCGAAAAATTTTGACGTTAAAAATTATGTTTATGTATAATTAAAGGCGTTGTGCAATCTCAGTAAAGTATCTTTGTCATGAGGTTATTGCCAAAAATTAAGATTGCTGCCATGTATAAGGCGCTAAAGGTGCATTTAGTTTTTGTCTATTCGTATTTTGATGACCAAGTCGAAATTTTACATTGTATTGTATACAAAATTTTTTGGATTTTATCTGCTTTTATATACATTGGATAGTGTTAACATCCAACACGATTATTGGTAAATCAAACGATAAATGCAATTAACCAAATTTATTTGCTGTTTTATTTATTTTCTGTAATAAGACTGAATGCACGATTATTTTATAGAATAAGAGTTACCAACGAGTACACGGTTCATCTGATGATATGTGTTTTTTAAATAGAATAAAGGTAAAAAACAAGCAAATAATCCATCGGATGGTAATGGGGGGCTATGGCCCGTAGACATTTTCATCTATACTCGATTAATGAATCAAATGCAAATGCATTGTTACCCTTGAGGACTATACAGTAAATCTATGTTGAGGACTAAGGTGGATGCTTACGTTCCAGTAAAAGGGTATCCGGTTCCCTTCACTCAATATACGAAATATCAGCAATAATCTGCTATTTTACTCTGGTATTCAGTGAGAATGTGATCCTACCTCTGTCGGGTCGACCCATTCGTGCTGCAACCTTATATAGTTGCAGCGTGGCCCATAGATATCTATCCCCTATGAAAAATTAAAATACAGATGCGTTGTCAGCTCTGAGGACTAATATTTTTAGTTTCTTTACTAGTTAAAAGTCTCCAGTAGTTTGACATATGTATTCTATGTAATATATTAATATGCAACAGCGCATATCGAGGATACATGTAAGTGTCTATGGGCCACAGCAACCACTTGCCATCAGGTAGACTGTGTGCTCGTTTGTCAATCTATCTTATTAAAAAAAGATTATAATAAAAATAATTTAATTTATTTTAAAAGTATGTGCCTTAAAATATTTTTAGAATTATAGAGAAACGTAAGCCTGAAAAGTATGAAAAAGCGTTCATTGATTTTTCTTTACCTTTTTTATTTTAGTCTAAAATGCGACTTATTACGAAATAATGTTCTTGTATAGCACACGGTCTATCCCACGAACGACATGTATGTAACGTACGACGAGATATAGCGTGCAGCAGATATAGCTTGCCGGCCTCCTACACGCTTTCTAATAAACAGCGCGCTATAAGATAGCGTATTAAATAGCGCGCCAGAAATTTATAGCTTATAGTTTGTACCGTGCTATTGATTTATAGTAGTTTCTAACAACTTTAATGTTGTTCCCCTTCATTTTTAAAGTTTGCTACTGCGTTAACGATCGCAGAAGTAATCTTGTCTAACCCCACTAATATCTATCAGTAACAAATTATTTATTTATTTTAGAAAGGTTCACAAAATAATATTTTCGTTAGTGCTAATGATAATAAAAATTGCTAATTATAAGCTTTCACCTATTAAAGTTGGACACATTTGTTTTTATTACCACAACGTGCATTATTTTTCATCTCCTTTCGTCTTGACAGTTGAAAGAATAATAGTCGTACATTTCCTGTATAGGACAGTTACTATACTGTTCGTCGTACATATGGAGTGTAGAGGTAAGGAGTACATACTGTATAAAAAAGGGTCCGTAGGAAACTTTGAGTATTCAACCAACTGGAGAAGCCATGCGCGTTAATTCCTAAACAAAAATTCTGTCAACATTAGGGGGGCGCAAGAAAACACACAACTGTAAACTTAACTACAAATGCAAAATTAAATCGTGTCACTATAAACGCACACTACAACATTTGTGTTGTGTTCATCGCGTTTACGCATACCATCAAATTGTACACGTGTTCGATACACTGATGGCGCTGTCTAAATGCGTAAGCAACGTAAGGCGTGGACTATGTCGATGTTTTTTTATCGATAAACAAATCACCATAGTCCGCATAAGTTTTTATTTGATTGTAAGTAATACATAGATAAATAATAGCAAGGTGTTATTTGAAATTCTTTTTTTTAAAGTATTTAGAAATTTTCTTCGGAAAAGAACTTAGAAATTATTGAAAATAAGTTTATAATTTTGCTACGGGTTTATTTTACATCATGCAAGATAAAATTTAAAACATTCAACGAATCGAAATAGGTTTAGTTAACTTATTTTAAAAATCAGATTGTTTGAAAAGAAAAGTCCAATCAGTTTATCGTCTTAGATGCTGTTAACCAAGTTTTTGTTTTTATTATAAAGCTTCGTTATCACAAAACCGCTAATTGAAAATAGTTGTTGATTTTCAAGAGTTATTAAACGAACTGTCTGGAAAATATTTAATAAATTAGGAAAACAAAAAAGTTTTACACTATATAATAGTTTCACAAAGTGAACTTTAAGCAGACAGCTGCTTAAAAATAAAACGTGACATCTACTTAGGGCTAAGTATTCCCCAGAAAGATGTTTTGCTTTAACTTTACATTACTATTCACCGAAAGCTTAACAATATGTGCGAAATATCAAAAGTTTTGAAATTGGTCTGCCTTCATCACATACGATAACAAAGTACAATTTATGGCCGACTTGGCTACACAAAAAAAAAAGCGTTAACTGTTTTAAAACTTAGACTAGAGAGTAACCTCGATAAGAAATTATATTGTATATTAGTGATAGATGAAATGAAAATAAAACAATTGACGGAGTACCATGGAAGTTCTAAAAGACATTTTGGTTATATACATAATGCCTTTGGCTACTAGCATCATTCTGTCAATTGCTTAATTTTCATTTCATCCATAACCAAGGTACAATAAAAAATTATCAGGGTTACTCTCCGCTCTCAATTTTAATGCCGTCAGCGCTTCTTGAGTAAGCCCTGGTCGGCGATCGATGGTAGTGTACCACTTAGTAAATGTACGGGTGCAGGCAAACATGTTCCAAAAGTTTTACGTACATGGCGACAGGCTTTGGGTGAGTAATAGTTAAGTGTTAGGGCATAGTAGTTCTTGCAAATTTGTGAAGCCTGTTTATGCTATTGTTAGAATTTTGCCGGAACATCCAGCTTTCTTTTTTCGATGTAGACGATATTTTGCAATCACCACGATCACCCTAAAATAAATAATTTTATTTTAGTCAGAAGATTCTATATATATATATATATATATATATATATATATATATATATATATATATATATATATATATATATATATATATATATATATATATATATATGTATATATACAGCAATATATACATGCAATAAATGAAACCACAAGTAATACTAGTCCGTAGAAGTGTATTTTTTTTTTTTTTTTTTTGAAAAATTAAATATTAAATTAAAACCCGTAAAATAAAAAAGTGAAATTTTCAAACAAAATAAATATTAAAATAAATTCAGTAAAAGTGAACACTCTGTTTAGACAACGTACCTTGACCCCTTGGAAGAGTGACAACGTTAAACGCGGGTGGCATGGCCTATGGTTCGTTGGACAATGTGCGACGAAATAAAAACTTACTCACTAAACTGTTTAGATATTTTACCGCCACTTTTTTATTTCGCGAAAATGGAACTGAACGAAATAAATATTATTGCATATTAGTAGCAAAATTTAATGAAACCCTAAATTTTAAAATTTTCAAAATGTCCGCCACGTTATTGAATGCACAAGTTACATCGCCGCATAATGTTGTCCTGAAGCCTGCTCAACAAATTTCGTTCAGGATCCAGAGCCAGGGCTTTTAATTTGTTAAAGGCGGCAACAATACGATTGCGCAGTTCATCTTCGGTTTCGGAGATCTTTGAGTACACTTCATTTTTAATAAAGCCCCATAAAAAGAAGTCTAGAGGAGTGAGGTCGGGCGATCGAGCTGGGCACGGTGTTTGTGTGCGTGCGACTAGACGTATGCGTGTACACTACCTGCTCACTCAATGATAAAAATTCCTGAATAACCTACATGTATTGTAAGGTATTAAAAATATTTTAAACAATATTAACTTCTCATTTATTCAATAAGAGAAAAAAAATTGTTTTCTTATCGGTCACCACGCTCAAAAAGTGTAACTTGATTTAATATCAAAGACTTAACTGCATAAATAAAATAAATAAATAATTATAATTGCATAAGTTGATAAATAATGCTATGCAATGTAGTATGCACGATAGCTTTACCGCGGCAGTCACCGAGTGCCACACGTATTTTATTAATTGTATATAGGTACAAAAATCAACTATTTACAAACACTATTATATACACTTTTGTATCTAAATTTTATTTACACTTAAAAACATTAGTTAGGTTTCTTTTGTAGCAGACAACTGTGTCCTTCGATCACTTATAAATATACAGTATACACTAACTAAATAACGTCTAACACTAATTTAGTTTGCGCGCGATGAACAACTGTGTCATTCGATCACTTATAAATATACAGTATACACTAACTAAATAACGTCTAACACTAATTTAGTTTGCGCGCAATGAACAACTGTGTCATTCGATCACTTATAAATATACAGT